TCATGGATGCGCAGCTGAGAAGAGACCGTATCTCCAACTGAAGGTGTGCCCTCCGACCACTAGAGTGAAGACAGAAACGTTCCCTCAGTGCGGAGGCAGTCCGGGATCATCCCTGACAAGTGTTTCTTTGGCAACCGAAGAAACGACGCTATTGAGAAAACGAACCACCTTCGCTCATGGCTTTTACAGAAATTAATACAGAACGATGCATGGTGACGATTTGTCAAAGACCGTCAGACGATCAGAAAGCCCAGACCAAATATAGATTCAAAGAGTAGCTGTGGACTAGATTCAATGATGCGGGTACTGTTGAACTGTTGAAAAGTACACAAGTTCTGTCTAATGTAGCGGTGAATCTGACCTTGACACCAGGAATGGTTTTTCTCTTTCCATACTGTTACAACTACATTTCACTACGCTCTGTGACAAAGTTCCACTAGCGGAAGAAACAATCGTAACTCGGAATGGGCAAATGTCTGAGGAAGAGGTACCGAGAAAGGTGTTTTAGCGATGAACGTCTGGCAAAGCATCTTTGCATCCCGTCGAAGCCAGATTTCTGATAAAGAACAGGTGAATTTTGACGAAGTACTAGCAGAGATGTCAAATTTTGTGCCATTATCAAAAGATCAGCACAAAAAGATGATCGTTATCAACGCAGATGTAGCTGGAATGATTGAACAGACGATAACTTGCAAGTAGTTTCATGCCTTCGTGCGTCACTCTTCCTTGGAACTCGTTTGTAACGATATCTCGATTTAATGTTTTACACTGTTATACGACAATATACGAGATAAACATTCATTAAGATTATAAAAAATGCTAATCAGCCCAGAAATAATGCTCTATGCTAGTACATAGAAATTTTGATGACAAAACCAACATGGCGGCAGCGATACAATATTTTGCTTTCTTCATCCAATTTTACGTTTCCTTCATAAGGCAAAACTATTTAACGATAACCAGCACACCCTAAGGCAATTCTTCTGAAATTACAGAACCTCATACAAAAACCAGTAAGCGGGTGACATATCATTTTTAAAATTCAACTTCAAGGCTCCCTCGGTGGAGGGCGGGCAAAGGTCACGAAGATTGAATTTAAAATTAAAATTTACTGGACAGTGCTCCAAACTAGGG